CAACTGTGCGCCATCGTCTACGGTAGACTTACCCTGGATCAGGGTCGACGCCCGGAGTCTTGTAGCCAACATAAGGCGTCGCCGTCGCCTCAGTACAGTGGTTCTATGTCTCGATGAGACCAGGGTAAACACGCACTCCGCGTCGTCCGGTGTCACCCTCACCGTCCGCTCCTTTGGAGCTCAGATGCTATCTACAATTCCGACGAAGAGCTGCTAACCTTGCAGTCGTCGTCCAGTAGATTACGTGCTACTCCACGAGTATCTGAAAGCCCGTGCCCAAGATGCCTTGGACTCAGTCCAACCTCGCCGTCTATGGCATGCAGCGACTGCTTCGTATACTCGAGCAGTACTCAGTGGTTTACGTGCCACTTCACGTGCACCACGGGGGTTTCGCTCTCAATGCTTCGGCCCTTGGCCGACCATGTCACGCATGACATGCAGCGACTGCTTCAGAAATTAAGCAGAGCTCAGTGAGTTACGTGCGACTCCACGATCAGCCGGCAACCACGCTCTGGACCCTGTCCGGTACACCGTTGGGTCTACCAACTTGGACATCCCAATGTCCAGCACGTTGTCCGCTTCGGTACAGTGCTCTTGTCAATTGCACTTTTATCGACTAGCAGAGGTAGTTTCATGACTCGCCAAAGCTTTACCAGGAGACGTGCGTGTAGCGCCAAAGGACTTTGACCTCCAATCAATCCAAGGCTCATGGTTTTCCAACCATGCCATTCCTAGGATGAGGTCATACCTTGCATCCAAGTCTAAGACTAGACAGCGTGCCACGCTATCAAAGTCAAAGAATTTGACTCCAAGGTCCACAGGAACCTTCGGGACCGTGACGCGTGTCCCCGTCGCTAGACGAACAGTGAAGATGTCACCCAGCCGCGCTTTCAGCGCCTTTAGCATACAACTGACTTTTTTCCATCGTGGAGTGTCGAGCATAATTGCCCGACGTCTCGTATTGATGAGGGATTTCCAAGGCTTCTCAGAAATTACGGAAGCCTCCACGACCACTAAGCCCGGCTTGCTTACACATTCCGTGTTTAAGAGCACAAAGCTATTCGGGCCCGGGCCCTGTTGACCTCTACCTTCCTGAGAACTCAACAGGACTCAATTTATCCCAGTAGGTCGCCCCGCGCCTACTGGAAGGTGACATTACCCCGCGATAAACCAGACTGGTAGGAATCGGGGCGATCGCTCAAAGAACCGTGACGCGCCTTGCGCAGATGTCAACCGTTCCAAAGGTGATGGATGTCTCCACAGACAAAATACCGTCGTGTGTTTGTATGCTGCCCGGCATCTCGGAGCTCTGCTCCCTCGTCCTCACCATTGCTGAGGTCCATGGGTTCAGGCTCGCTCGACGAGCTATTGAAGTGTGCATTCCATCAATTCGTGCCGGCTATTCGGTGTTCAATGTCACTTTCACCGTCTCTTCAATGAATATGGATGCACACGGAAGACTTCCATTCTGGCCACGCCAGTGCGGAGGCCATCCATAAAGACGATCACTTTGACCGCATCCGGGGGGATCTGCTGTCATCTCGACAATGAGAGTGCGCATCTCTTTGACAAAGTCTACCAAGTGCTTCTTGCCCTATCGGACAGCAAGGAAACGTTATCTAACGCGATATGCCTGATTAGGCGGCGAGAACAATCGGAGAAGCTGACACTTCATCTCCTTTTCAGGATGTTTGCACAGCTACAACCGAAGCACCGCAAGTTAGTGCCCATTCTTGCGCTCGCCCTGGAGCTTGGATATATCTAGCGCTACGCGCTCTTGCTCGTTCTGGATATGGCATCCGCAATCCAGAGCAGTGGACTCAATATACCTTTAGCCTCGCAGGTCTTAACATTCACCAT